TCTTGGACGATCTGTTACTTGTGACGGGCAGAAGTCTGCTTCACAGAAGACTTCAGGGTTAAGCGGAACTATGCCCGACACGCGGAACCCGCTCGTGATGTTGGCCTGTGTGCTGGCACTTGCCCAGGCGTCGCGGAGTACGCCGGGGATGTCGTGGATAGTCATTGTGCGCCCTCTGTTGTTGCGAAGCCAGTTCGCCTGTGCGCATCCAAGGTATCGTTTCAGTGGACCGTACACTGATCTGTCGAGAGGCTGCAGTTTGTGCGAGCAGTGGGGCGGGAATGACAGCAAGACCACGCCGTTTTCCTTAGCGTAGGTCACAGCCTCTACGCCAAGGTGACTTTCATGGTTGTCGAGAAGAAGAAGCACCGGCCTCTCTTTTGAGCATCGCGTGTGCTTCACGAAGTGGACGAGGAAGATTTTGAAGTTTTCCTTCGTCATCCAGCCAGATGGGTACGCGGAGCCGATGCATCCTGGAGGACCGTCTCTCACGAAGTGAGGCTGGTATCGTACCCGCGGAAATATTAGCATGGGCGGTACTGTATTTCCGCAGGCACTCACCGCTGCACAAACGGTCACCAGCTCACCGCGCTCCGCAGAGGTCAGAGACCCCACCTGCCTCGAACCTCTAGCGGTGACAACCTGTGGTGGCTTTTGCACCGTGGTGACTCCCGTTTCGTCCACATTCCAAATGTCCTCTTTGCTGAACTGGTAGCGGTCCACAACTTCCGTGAGCTTTGCAAAAAACTCGTTTACGTTGTGCCTGTTGAAGCCGCTTGCTCTTCCCATGCTAGTAGCTTCAGGGGTTCTCACGGCCAGGTTTCGGCGCTTACGAAATGACCGAAACCACTCCACACCCGCCATCTTGTTGTCCTCCCATGATTGAGGCACAGTGATCCCATATTTTTTGGCACAGTCATAGGCCAGGACGCGCACATCCTTTGGTGTCAGTCCGAAAAATATTTCGGCAGCCTCCTTCAGATACCCTTCAAGGATGGATTCTTGCTCATCTGTGAACACCCTTGTTCCGCAGTTCTGGTACCCCATGCGCTGTCCTAAACGTCCCTCTTTTTTCATGCGGACGAAACGGTTCAGGGTCTGATAGTTAACGCCAAAATTTTTCGCGACACCTCTAATTGACAGCCCTTTTTGAACGACTAGGGTTGCCGCCCTCTCCAAAACATCTTCCGGGCTGTTCTGCCGTCTATCTGTCTTTCGGACGTAGCTCCGACCCATGGCATTCGTGAGCTGGAAAAAGCGTTCAGGAATTAGGATTACAGGATGAAGCAAGTGACGGTCACGTGAATAATATGAATGATAGGCAAGTACGTAGGTTAAAATATATTCCTGCCCGGGGCCGGGATGATTCAATAAATGTCACCGAGGTTTTTTAGCGAAAACTCCGAGGGCCGTTAGGCCCGAGGTGCTTTTCGCTAAAAAAGCGAGGTGACATTTATTGAATTCCCGGCCTTAGGGCTGGAAGGTGTTTCCCATACCTGCCAAAAAGCTCACAACTATAATTGATAGTGACGTCAGCAGCCGTGTGGTTCAACGCGTTTAACCACACCCCTTGAACCACACGGCTGGCAATATTAAAGCACTGCATTAAACTTTGAAAAGTGTGGTACAGTGCACGTGCCATTAAAATGCCTGGATGTCTCGATTTAATCATGCAATGTAGCAGGTATGGGAAAGGAAGCATCCACCTTCATGGCAGGACATATAATTTAATTAGGTAGGTATAGGCAGCGTCTAAGACTTAACTATCTATAAAAACTTATCGATATATCTATCGCAATTTGCAACCTTGTTTTAAGTCCATTTTCGACCCGTCTAATGTAAGTATAAACCGGAAATGGAAAATGTTTTAACCTGAGATAAGTTGTATCACTAGTGGGATAAGTTGTATCACTGATACAACTATTCCCACCACTCCCTGATACAACATGTCCATGCGGGCCATTTCAAGAAAAGGTCTGCGAAACGCTATCCGCCATGTTTCATTGCTCGAAACGAATTATGTTGTGATTAAGAGCAATGTTGACACTCACGCATAATGGTAAAACAATAGAAAGCTTTCAACATATTCAAGTCAAAAACATATATTTCCTAAAGAACGCATTTCTTACAACGGACCCATCAAAACACATTATTGGGACTCACCTGAAAACACGTCCGCTCCTGTTCACGTCAAAACACGGAAAGGTGGCGCGCGGCGTGGCGTCTCAAATAGTCGCGACAAGCCTGCCATCTGACGGATAGTTTTCGCAAAAATCGCTCTGATACTACCTGTCCATGATACAACTCACCCCGCTCTCCCCTACCGATGAATAGGTGCCAGAAACAGCTAATTAAGGTCATTTTCCATGATTGGTGCTGGTATCCACCAAATAGGTGCTGAGGACCAAGTTTGGGGCGAGTCAGCTTTTAGGTGCCAGAAATAGCTTTTCTGGGACGCAATTAAATGGCGTCCTTTGACGATTCAGCAATGAGTCAGTGTTTCTTTAAAATTACGAACGGATCCGATGTGGTGTAGTGATCTGGGAAGGGGTGTTATCGCGTTCATGAATCTCACCCGATTACAGAGGAGCCGAGGTAGGTAATGCACGTGTGCATAGATAAAGCAATGCCACTTTTATTGAGGCTTCGTGTTTGCAGAGGTCGGCATGAAAACGCTCCGGCATAAAGTTCCTCACTAAGCTGGTTTATGTTTCGCTTTCTACTAAGGTCACATGAGCAATCGATCATGTATAGGGGAAGCGGGGGTAACACCGCCCCCCTAAGAGAGAGAGAGAGAGAGAGAACTTTGTATTTACAGACACTTAGTCCAATGCTACATAACATGACGATTCATGGCACTCCCAGAGCATCATTCCATGCCGCTCTTAGCGGTGATCGCCGGCGTATGTCACTGTCAACCAGGACATTGATGATCGCGTTGGTGGATGCATCTAAACGCTGCATGAAACCCCATGCTGCTTTTCGGTACATCACGTCAAAATTATCTAATCCTTCACACACATGCATAGACGAAGCGCTACAGAACCTGGAGTAGCCAAAGAATATTCTGACAGCATTGTTAAGACACACTTTGAATTTTCTTATAACCGCAGCACTATAAGCACGCCACAAGTGAACACAGTACACAGAAGCACAGTAGGTCGTGAATAAATACTTTTTCACAGCATACGTACACATGCCAAATTTGCGAATGAGCGAATTGGTTCTACAGCACAGCATACGATATTGCTGCTGAATCTCAAGATCATCACGCACATTGTCAGTCATGAAGTAACCAAGATATTTGTACTCACTTACAACTCTTAATATTGTGCCACAAAGAGACAGCTCAGGAGTTTTAAGATTTTTCAAAGCCTTTGGACGCATAATCAAGCATACAGTTTTCTTTGTGTTGTACTTGATATCATACTCCTCTGCAAATCGTTCGCAAGTATTCAAGAGCACTTGCAAGCCATGGTGAGATGGCGAAAGAAGGATGACATCATCAGCATAAGCAATGTGATTCATGCTGCCTAAATAACGGCAGCCAACGCCAGTTTCATCCAGTGCTGAAGAAAGAGAGTCTATATACACATTGAACATGAAGGGGGAAAGTATACCTCCCTGCCTCACGCCGTTACTTACATTAAAACCGCCAGTTGTGACACCACCCCATTTGACGTGAAAAAGCTGAGTACCGTACCATTCAACTAGAAGTTTAACGAGGCTTTTATCAATTCCACGCTTTAAAAGTTTGTCATAGAGTTTCCAGTGATTCACTCTATCAAAAGCTTTTGATGCATCCAGAAAACAAACATACACGGCGCTATTGTTTCTAAGGTAATAATCTATTTTACCTTATTATATATATTGTTTCTAAGCTTTTCGCCAAAATGAGAGAATATGTGTGAAGTCTCTTGGTAGTTATTGTCTTGGTTACAATATTTAAACATTTGCTCCTGTTTTAGGTACTTATTTTGCATGCTCCTAAAAGGTTTTCATGTATCACGACTTTTAAAAATACTTTGCATATTTGCCGCCTACAAATTGTGTGGGTAACCCCGCCACCGGTGTTGATGTTAACCCAACCCATCCCTACGAAAGCTTTTAATTGTTCAGAGATCGCGTGCGATGAGTTTCCTGTCGGTAAGTGGTAATTTTCGCAAATAGTCGGTAATGGACACCTAAATAGGTATAGGTTCATCAGCTGTTTGCCAGTTTTATACAGCTGGCAAGTGCTTGGTCGGGATGCATGAAAAATATAAAGTAAAAAGTCAAATAAGCTGCTTATTCCCGACTTAGGAACATCTACGAACATAAATAAAGCGTGTCTTTGGAATTTCATCACTTATCACGCTACGAACAGGAAACACCGCAACCTCAATTGGGGTAACACCGCCACGGGGTGGCGGTGTTCCCCAATAAGTGATCACAAGCAAAAATCGCCAGCGGCAAGAATGTACTACACGGTTCAAGCAAACCTATCTTACTGGACAAAGCCGATCAGTTATTTTTCGATGTAATCAAGTAAATGAAAATGAGTCTCTACTTAAAGACATTCAAAAGTGCTCCCAACTCATCGAATTTTTATAAGAGAATGTGCATTTTTCTTTAAATGCCCACAATGAGCTTCGATTACACTGAAACACCGGAACACAAATCAGAAGACGCTTACCTTCGTGCGGTTAATAGGAAATAACGGATTTTTACACTTTATAGTTCATACTTTCGCCGCCAGATGGGGTGGCGGTGTTTCCCACAGTGGCGGTGTTCCCCCCGCTTCCCCTTTAATACCTATAGATATTCAGGAACATGTATCAAAGTACAAACCAGTTGGTTTTGAAACGGACACCGTATGCACCTCAATGTCTACTCATACCTAAATATACACCCGACGGCCCACAGTCCACACCGGCATATATTTCCGACTAATGTGTCGTGTTGATTTGGAATTCCCTTACCGGACGGCTGGGCCTTTATACAGTGGGCCGTTGACTCACCAGTCGGCCAGCATGCCACCGAGCACGGCGCCGAGCAGAATGCCCACCATGTAACTGGACTGGGCGTGGGCCACGTACCCGGCCCGGTCACACACCAGGTCAAACTGAAATGCGACAGGTCACACATCAGGTCAAACTGAAATACACGACCAGGTCACACACCAGGTCAAAATGAAACACCCAGCCGGGTAAAACTGAAACACACCAGGTCAAACTGGGACACACCAGTCTCCAGGTCAAACTGAAACACACCAGGTCACACACCAGGTCATTCGACAGGTCAAACTGAAATCATAGGCGGCGGAACGGGGAGGGCACCGGGGCACCGTGCCCCCCGTTGATTTTGGCATTTTAACATTAGCCCTATGGGCATTGCATGGAAAGAATGGGACCAAAAGTCGGCAGTGCCCCCCCCCCCCTTAATTGAAGGTGTTCCGCCGCTACTGACTGAAATACACCCTGTCGCACACCACGTCAAACTGGAATACGGCAGGTCACACACCAGGTTAAACATCCGGTCAAACTGAAACGCAACAGGCGAAAAGAAATCGCCAATTACATGAGAAATTGAAGAAGAAAAAATGTTCAAAGTGGTAAAATAGAATGTACATTTCCTAAGACGGACGCACCGACGCAGCATCGCTTAGCGCACCGCAACACTTCCAGGGCGTGGCAACTGGCAGTGGCTTTCCCCTCCCCTGGGTGCGCACTAATATGCACTAGCCAGCAGCCGGTGCCGATGGGTTTTCCGAGCGGGCTGCGTCGCTGTCGGGCCCACCGAGCTGCCAGCCGCGACCGCGTGGCCTTGGTCCGCCAGCCCCTCCGAGCGTGTGTGTGTGTGTGTGCGCGAGTGAGCCTGCGGCGTGCGTTGACACAGAGGGCCCAGCCGGTAGTTATTCCAGGCTGTTGTTTTGGGCGGCAGCGGCAGCAGCCGGCGGGAGCACGGAACATGCAGGGAGAAGCACCGCCGCCACAGTGAGTGTATTATGAGTAACTACATTAGAGTGAGGGATGAGCGTCACCCTGACAGACAGCTGCTCTGGCGTGACGTCAGAAACAGAACTGCGCGTATACGAACTGACTCATATCTGAGACGTGCACCACTCGGGATAAACGATGTCAAAACGCTCTGGTTTATAATAACCGGCTACTAAAAATAAACAGTCGGTAATTTGTAGAACCACTTGTTGTGACGGCAGCATGAGTGTAGGAATTTTCCTGCGAAGGCCAGGGGACTGGCGACTACGCACTGCTCCATAGATAAGAAAAGCAGCACGCGGTTGTAAACGGATGGACTTTGGAGCGGGTCAGACGTAGCGTAAATGTTCAGGGGCGCGGGAACTACTTTCCGACTGGGGGGGCACACCATAATAGAGATTAACCTAGGGTACCCCCAAATCTAGTTTTCTCACCGGTTTTAGGCCACATATTTTTCACCCCTCGGCTTTTTCAACAAAAAAGAAAACATTTGCAAAAAAAGTGTGATATTCCGTCTCAAAGCTGTGGGGGCACCGCCCCCACGGCCTCAGAGTTGGGGGGGCAAGCTGCCCCCACTGCCCCCCCGGCTCCCGCGCCTATGTAAATGTTTGCAGACGCATGTGTCTGGCGTCCTTCGTATATGGACTAGCACAGCTAATGAAAACGATATGTTTCGACATAATATGTCGTGCAGCGAGATTTTTAAATATTGCTTCAAAACGTACTTGCTACTGCACATAGGTAGGTATCTAACATGGTAAACATATCGTTGTGGAAGGAGCTGAAGTCTGATTTGAAATGGAACCACCAGCGACTTCGCTGCTCACAGCTGATCAACAGCCGTGAATTGATATATTTGCCTCTGTTGTGTCTTGTGCGCTCTTGTGTGCATGAGTGTTTGCACTTGGCCGTCATGTATGTGTATATGTATGTATGTTTGTATGTATGTTTGTATGTATGTATGCATGCATGTATACATGTATGCATGCATGTATGTATGTATGTATGTATGTATGTATGTATGTATGTATGTATGTATGTATGTATGTATGTATGTATGTATGTGATACATGCATATGTATGTGTACAGGTATGCATGTACATATGCAAAGGTCAAGGATGGCTGTACACATATAATCACTAATCACAATCCTGGCCCTCACCTCGCTGACGGCCGAGTCGACGAAGCGCGTCTCGTTGTACTGGTAGGTGCGGTTGGTGTCGCTGCCGATACTGACCGGCCACGAGCGGCAGGGGATCACCGAGCTGGCGGTCAGCTCCTGCTCCGGTATGGCCGGACCCCGCACCACAGGGCCGGAGGGCACCTTGTCGTAGCTGATGTTGAACATCCGACACTGGTCGAACCGCACCTTCTGCCGGCGGCGGAGGGAAGGGCGGTGTGAGAGGCGGGTGCTGGAGAAGATGACGCCTAGGCGAAGACATTGACCGGCATAAAGTGTTGGTGACGGTGATACCAAAATAATGGAAGACAAGTAATATGAGCTTTTTGAAACTTGACCATGATTATTTCTAATAGAAAATGTAACGAATTATTCCATGAATGTAGGCATAGTCTCCTTTAAGTTTCATTCAAGTAAATTGTGTAAAGAAAGTTAAAAAAGTTACTGATAGAAAGTAACTTTAAACTTAACATAACTAACGAACTAATCGTCATATTTTCTACCACTGAAGGAGTAACAAAAACCTATGCCACTTCCTTTACTCCCTATCAACTCCCGAGTTCAGCATGCCGTCTCACTCACCCCATCATACGCCTTTGTGGTGGGGATGGCGTACAGTTTCCACTGTTCGGGGGACCAGTCGGCGAACGCCGGGGGCGGCGCACACCAGTGGTCCACTCCGGTCGGAGCCAGGAACGTGATGGCCAGCATGTTCCACGCGGCCGGGATGCCTGTGGGGTGGATAGCCACCGGTCATTAGGAGACAGTTGTTCATTCATTTCATGTGAGAATAATGATCGCAAGCCGCTTGCGTCTCAGTTTTCGCTTGTTGTATTTACCAACTCGTAAACACTGCAGAATCTGAAAATGAATGCCTTATTGAGCAATTAACTCAAGCTGAGCCTGAGCCGGATCATCGAGAAACAGCTCCAAACAGAGAGCTGTGTGGATGTCTCGGTAACTCACCCAGCAGAGAGAGCACGAGGAAAGTCAGCAGCTGCCATCTTCCTTTGTTTCCGATCACTGTGAGCAGGCTATCCTCGGCCTTCAAAGGCTCCCTGAAAAAAGAAATGCACGAAAAGAAATATTAACAGTGACTAACACGGAAGCGAAAATAGCAATCCTGTAGATACCTATTGTTAAATTGGGAATAAATAAGAATTGCCCACATTCAGTGTTCAGTATCCTTTTATTGGGGAACGCTTCCTTTAGAAGCTGACCTACAAGTTGAACACGATAATATGTTCCATTTATTGCAACGATGCGAATAACAAACAATTTTTGCTTTCAGTACAGGCTGCAGCTTCTTTGCAATGATTCATGGACATTCCTTTGCTCATTAATGATTTATCTACAGTTGAGTAAGCTTTGTCTTATCTATAGGCGAAGGGGACCAAGAGTTCCGAGAGATTTAAACGGCCTATCACTGCCCGGTTTCAACTCGTCACATTACATTCTGCCTGTTATAGTGCTCAATCAGTATGCATGAAAATGAACTTTATCGGGCGTTCTTTTGTTTCCAATTCCCGAATCACTGCTCTGCACCATCAACCGAAGCGACCACGCAGTGTCGGCTTCCCGTTCTTTGACTCGATAGCGCTGAGTCCTTGTAGTCACACCCGTCCCTGTTCTGCCGTCATGGTGGTGAGGCGAGTCGCGCTGCACAGCGTATTCAGGCGGCCACAATGGCCGTGAGTTGAAGGTCGGCGGTACGTGCGATTCACCCTCCGTGAGTGCCACAAACTTCTATGGTTAGTCGGTCCTGGTGTCACACTAGCTTATGTAAGGTGCGTGCGTTTGTTTGCACAAACATCACTGGGCTACTTTTGGAACGTCGGGGTCACGGCCTGTACTTCCCCTTTCCTTATATTTGTCTGAAGCATTGGGCGTTGTGTATGTGTGTGTACTTTTCAGTCAAGTTTAACCCGCGCTTCTCGGCTCAGAAAGTAGTCACTTCACTCTGTACTATTCAGATAGTCTCTTGAATAAATACACGTGCTTACACGTCCTAATGATAATTTACAATTATTCTTACACTTGTAACCATTTTGCCCATTTCCGCCAGAACGAAACGTTTGTAACATCATGCCAAGCGAATTGTCCAAGTCGATAATGATATCGGTCACTATGTCTAGAGAGGGAATAAAAATGACGTATCATTTTTGAAAACTTTCATTCGTTTATTTGCTAGGATGAGAAGCCTCGCTGGCTTTATCACGTGATTCGTGCCCCTGTATGTGTCGTATGCTCGGGGTCGGCTGAGCCAAACGAGAGCAGTGTTTGCGCTGGCGTTCCACTGTCGACACGATCAAAACAGTCGACCCGATCAAAACAGTCGACCCGATCAAAACATAGGCCGCCTCTGATCGGCGCCCAAAACACGACTGTCGACTTCTCGTGACCCCTGAGCTGACCGGCCACCGGTGTAGGTTTCCGTGGGTTTGGCATTCGGACCAACTGACCCAGCAGCCTCATCTGCGAGACCGATGAAAATCGCAATGCTTTAGCAGTGCTGTGGCAAAGGCAACTTTCGCTGAACCCACCATTCTTGGATGTTATCAAGGCAGCACTCTATGTATACCTCCTATCTCAGCTAATCCGAATCCCTGTCAAACTTCTCATACGCACAGCTGTGACATTACAGGTGATCATACTGACCTACTACGCATGGTAAAGGATAAAACTAATTCCTGACCTCATATATCACGTTTCACGAATTAACCCGCGCCCTGCTGGGGGGGGGGGGTGTTTGAACACCCCCCCCTGTGGTTTTTCGCGAATATCTCAAAAACGGCGGCGCTCCGCGCCGCCGTTTTTGGTACACCTTATCATACATCAATTCTACACATGTTGTGAAAATTTCAGACCAAGGTCATTCAAGGTCAGGTCACCAGGTCACTTGAAGTGACCTCACCTCATAAAAACTTTCAATGTCTGTCATAGCTACACCGAGTGACCGATCGCTTTGAAACTTTCAGCGATTGCTAAGAGCAATAGCATGTACAAAATGTATATCTCAGAATTTTGATATCGATGACCTAAGGTCAGGTCAATTTTGCGACCTCCCCATTATAAGTCAATGGGAGAAAATTGAAATGCGCCTCTTTTGGATGAAAGACGTTATAAACACTCCCAAACACCGAATTACAAGTGGTTTAGACACACTGAACTTGAAAATGGTGTCCGTGACCCTTGTTTATGCCCTGAGGTCATCTTAGGTCACGAATGGTATCTAACAGTTTTTCGCAAATAACTTTTGATAGAGGCATGCTAGAGTGATGAAAATGCCTTAGATGTGTTCAGCTCGACAATACGGATCGACTGATATGCAACATGACCCTTTCCGGTCAGGTCATGACCTTGACCTGAGGTCAAATTTTCAAGTTGACCTTTCAAGGTCAAGTTATAGTTCATTCAATGCGTCTTGAGAGGAACACGATGCCGGTAAAAGCAAGCTCGTACAATGCTTGGGTCAAAAGTTATTGCAGAAAAACTGTTTTCGAAAAAATCGGCTATTTTTGCAGTTTTTGCCCCCTGCAGGCAAAACCGTTGACGTTAAGTCAAATCTGAGAGAATTACTCAGAAAGGGCGTTAATAGGGCTATCGAATGCGCTTTTCCGCGGCGCTGTAGCTCTATTGGTTCCCGAGTTATGCGTTGGCTTCTTGGAAATTGTCGACATTTGACCTGGAAATCGGCGAAATTTTGCCTTCAATGACCTCTGGTGACCTGACCTTTGACCTGACCAAAAAATTGACCGAAGTGATTTCGTCATTATTTTTTACGCTCTTTCGAACGCCGCCTTCCGCGTATCGCTACGTGGCCCAGGAGCCGAGTTACAAGGGGGGTGTTCAAACACCCCCCCCCCCCCCCAGCAGGGCGTGAAAATCCAGGACCCCCAGCAGGGCGCGGGTTAACTACTCTGCCGTGAGTTCGTCGACCCGGCCGTGCCCGTGGCGATCCAGGCCGTCTGCACTGTTTGTGCTGTTTTACCAGTCCTGGGTGTCTCTCACGGACCCACTGTCAGTTGGTCAGTGCATACCTACTTACACCACGGGGGAGTGACACTCCTCAGCCGCGGTGACACGGACTCGGCGACACGGCGGTGCGACGCGTCACGGGGCGCCACGTCAGTGCACGTGCCCCGTGCACGGCGCAACAGGGCGTCGGTACATACGCTCACGTTGGTCCCAGTCGACTGCAGGTGACTAAATTCCGGAACAACAGCATGTAACATAAAAACTACGGACGAAGAAAAACGAAAAACATCAATCTCAGCACTTCCAGACTTCGGTGTTGTTCAAAGCAAAAGACAAAAATAAATGTTGACGAGTGGGACAAATGCAGTCCCTCAACAGACATACCATGAGGTCGCTGTATGACTTGTAAAACCAACTAAATCGCACGCAAATAACACTTGCACGAATGGATTGTTATTGATACTTCCGATGCAGATGGTTGCCAGTTGTACAGGATCGATTAGATAAACGGATTGGCATCGATTTTCTACACACTTGGCTCACATGTGTTTTGTCGCAGGTCATGGGTGAGGCTTCACCCAGCGCCCGTGGGGGCCGAGTGGGTATTCATTTCATTTACAGCTTTTGGCGGCTGTTTTACTCAGTAAAACCGGTCAGTCAATTGTTCACATTATTATGTCATGTTGCGAAAAACGATCACACGAAAGGTGTTCAGTGCAGATGCGCGTTACACACGTAACCATTAGGTAATGTTTCCTTTCGGTGCTCGCATAAAACTGATGACCGAGTAGGTATAAAAGCTCATGGAACAAGGATGGATGTGCCTATGATGATCCACTATGGGTTGAGCTTGAATACCAAAACTGTATGTCATCAGTCATGAGTTTGTGATGACCATTTTATTTGGAATCTGGAGCCATTTTCCTTCAGTTAAAGCATGGAAATAAACGTATCTATCGAGTTTGGCGTAATATTTTGGACAGTTTTACATCATTTGGGTTATTGGGTTCTTGTTGATGCTCATTGCTCAGTGATCCATGCGACAAGGGGCCTTCCTCAGTGGGGTGCTCGGGACCGAAACTACAAAACATTTTCAGTTTGTTTGATCCAACAAAGACGTGGTGATTAATGCGTCTCGTCTCATGGGCTCGTCTCATGCGATGCCTTTATTTCTCAAGCGAGAAAATGTAGATATCTTAGTTATAGATTTAAAGGAAATAGTTCACTTTCCTGAAATTAGTATTTTGCTATGGATTTATGTTTTTTATGCTCAAAATGATCAGAAAATAAAACAAAACGTTTTTGTAAAAAGGACTATTTTTTATATTTTAGTATAAGAAGAACTATATTCTATATAAAATAATGTTTGACGCGGAAGCTTATTACGCGTTGGCCAATCATATTGCGTAGGACAAACCCATCGGCTGTAAGCAGCATTCTGATTGGCTGACGATGACGTGACTGCATTCCTCAGCAGGGCACGCATTCCTCTGCAAGGCACTCTTTTCGGAACGAAAAATGGAATATCTTCGTCTAGGGTGATCGTTGGGCCGTAAAAGCTTCTGATTTGTGCTAGTCTCAGCGCAAGCAACAAAACTGCTATTCCAGTTCCAAACCCCACGTTAAAAGTGAACTATTTCCTTTAAAGGTAGTGTGCCACCTTTGAAAGATTTCCCATTTTATTTTTCCTAGGATAAGAAGCTTCTGTTTTTACCTAAAATCGCAAAAAAAAATCAAAAATGGGCCTGGAATAGTGCGCTTTTCGCCTAAAAGTTTATCGGTTTTTCGATATGTATAACAACTGTAGTGGGCTGACCTGCAAACAGGCGTCGGCAACAATCGCGAATGCGGCGCACATGTGACAATAAGCAAAGGTCATTATAGAGTTACGACGTACGGGAATGAGTTATCAGCTGTCTAATCGTACACAACACAATGTCGAGCCTTAAACTGTAAGCCTGTATTGGTATTGTTTCTTTTATTTGGCTGTCGAACATTATTTATGGTTTGAAATATGATTTTATGTAAAATAATTGATATGAAAAAGCCATCTCTTAAGTTATGACCCCATTTCACCACA